GGTCAGGTGGCCTGTAGCAGACCCCCACTACTACAAAATAAGTTGTTAAATACTTTCCTTAGAAAATTTTATTTCTTAAGCCTTCATATAAGACAGAAGTAAACTAAAACAGAAAACAGCTGAGGAGCATGTGTTGTTTAGTCCCATGTAAGCTGAACTGTACACTTAACAAAACCAAAACTCACAGCACATGGATTTCCCTGTTCTTTCAAGTAAGAAGTATCTGGGAATGGAAACATGGCCTACGTTAAAGAGATGTTCACTTACCACATGTGTTAGCAATTTTGAAGTTTTGATGGTTTTCTTATGGTTGCCTTAAAAGCCACTTGTGTGTGAATTTGTGTAATTGGGGTCTGTAGATATCTATGTGTGTGAATAAGAAAACAGTTACCAGAAAACAGCAGGGCAGGGAAAGGAAAAGTATGTGCTGAGAGGTAGCATGTGAAAGGCTCTGAAGAGCTGATGAGCTCTTGAGATCAGTGATCCTTCTGGATTCACGTTAAGTGGTAGATTCAGAACACCAAACGTCTGCTGAATCTGTATAAGGCCGCCAGCACACACGGGCACCACAAACGTGTTGCATGACTCAGCCCACATGTGAAAAGGCTGTGTCTGCTCTACACAGAGACTACAGGATTGTGGGTATACCCGATGAAGCAAGGAGGCTTGATTGTAACATGTGATTAGCTGTCTGTGACTAATGAACAGCAGTTTGGCTCTGTTAGTAGTAACAGCTCAACTTCTACTTTGCCTCAGTCCCCTATCAGTGAAATTTATATACGTCTCCATTTCCAAACCACAAAAGAAGTTTTTCTCCGATATATTAATACTTCTTTTGCAAGTAGGAATGCAGTAGCTGCCAGTATTTTACTCAGGGAGAATGTATGCTCTGGTATCTATCTTTTCCTGTTGTCTTTTTGCTAAGCTTGCCAGAATAAATGAATTATTATGAAACCCTGACAAGTAAGGAAGGAATATTAGAAAAGGTCAGTAGCTGTTTAGCTTTATAAAATGAGTGAAGTCAAAGCTAAAATAATTTTATTGTTTAGTATGATAATTATAGGGGAATTTGCTGAATACAAGCATTTCATGAGGTGGGGTTTTGGGGTTTTTTTGACCATAGCAGTTAATGGATAGGGTTTTGTCATAGCATGCAGTTTGGTTCCTTCCCTTTCAATTTACTGAGTATGAATACTTTGAGGAAAGTGCAATGAAAAAGCGGGAGAGAGGCACAGGAGTCCAAAGTGTTTCATTTATAAGGATACTTTGTGTATACTACGTAAATGAAAGTGATTTCACAAGATACTAGCAAAAGCACTGTAGTGTGTGTGCAACCACCAAAGTCTTAAGGATGCTTCAAAACTTCTAACTCAATCTCCTGTTAAATACTGGGCCTGCTCAGCTGTTTTTCTTCATCTTTTAGGTTTATGGTGCTGCTATTCAGTTTTATGAGCCTTATCCCCGGGAGCTGCTAACAGAAAGACAACAATTGCAGCTGGGTCTTGTGACAGCTGTAGAGAGGAAAGTGGTTACTTCCAAGTCCATCAATTCCAACAAATGCATCTGCCTTCTCTCACATTGGCCTTTCTTTGAAGCATTTAGAAAATTTCTTATGTTCATCTACAAACTCTCTGTCTCTGGACCTCATCTTCTTCCCATTGAAAAGTATGTAAAACATTTTTCAAGTTAATGTTGGAAGGTAGTTATATCAGTTCAAGAAGTCATGTGATTTATACTAGTCACACTTACTTGGTATATTTGCTCCATCCTCTTGCTTGCACTGCATAGTTTATGTTGTACTGATAGAAATTATTGCTGCTTCTGTTTAATAATAGTGGCTCTTGCAGTGCCAGGAAAGTGAACTGTATTTTACTGTGGCTTTTCTGTTAGAGTATGTCAAGCCTGTTTACCTTTCTCTTAACTGTGTCAAACACAGAAAAAGGCTGAGCTATAACATACATGCTAATGTTTGCAGTCCTGCATTTTAGGTTAATAAGTATAAGCTCATAGACTCTGTGCGTTAGCAATGAGTATCTGTGTCTGTTTCCAAACACTGCAACTAATGCAGATTGTATGTGTGTGTAAACTCAGTAGAGGATGCTTTTCATGGTCCTAAAAGTTTGCTGAAATATGGTGTTACCTTCAAAACTGTATTAGATGTCTGGCAGTGAAGTATATAGTTTGTCATAGCTAAGCCTCATTAGAAACTCTGTAGAATGGGGTTAGGCTGCCTGGGATTTGAAATAGCTTGCCTAAATGCTACTGTGTTCTTATCTGTTCCATACATATCTGAAGCTGCCAGTATTAATTTTCATGCATGACATGCGAATGAATGGAGCTTCTTTCTTTCAATTTGCATAAATAGGCTCTTAAACTTATAAAAACAGTAAATAAATCTCAACAGCCTTGCTAAAATATGGTACCATAGTAATTCCAAAATGTGATTAACATTGTTTTCAGTTGCTGATTAGTGCCTGCTGGTTTTCTGACATATTGTCTTCTTTTCAGGTATGTATCCCATTTTATGCACAACATACCTTTCCCTTCACCACAAAGGCCAAGAATTCTTGTGCAGGTAAGCAAAACATTTGCTTACATTTTTAGATACAATAATGGCAAACCCTCTTTTTTGCTTTTGAAAGCCTGGTTTCTTCTTTTAGGCCTTTTACTCAGCTTTGAATACCCATGTGCTAGAAAGGGGAGGGGAGGAGATGTATGGGTTGGCCTTCTCTTTCATTAATAGAAATCTGGGGTAACTTAGAAACGGAGACTCTTTCAGACTTCAGGTGGTGCAGATGGCAGCAGTGTCCTACTTGCACTTTCAAAATTTCTGCTATATATTACTTTTTCATTTTATAGGCACCATTTGAATTACCTCAGTGAGGGGGTGGTTTGTTTTCTGTCTTTCTCTCACTTTTCCACCCACTGCTGTGGGTCAAGGGTTAGTCCCCCCGGGCATTGTCTCTTGTGGTTCTCTGCTTAATCACCCAGCAGCAGTTACATGTCCAACACTGAGTCACAACTTCCTGTAACTTCTGAGAATTGTTTCAGTGACTAATACAAGTTCTGTTGACCTAGTGAATACAAGTCTCAAAGATTGTGTCTGATTTGCGTGTCTTGCATGACGTTGTGACTCTGTCTGCCAGGCAGTTTATGAGACTATGGATATACATTCATATTGGAATATTACACTGTATTGACTTTGGAGTTGTCCATATCAATCATATACTGCTTTATGTGTTTCAGCTTTCTGCCCATGATGCATTAGTATTGTCTCAGCCAGTTTCTACACCATTGCCATTAAGGTATCATTATTAATGCTTTAAATGTATGCTACTTGAAAAATTCAGAGGCAAATAGGAGTGAGTCATAGGAGGAAGCCAAAAGCTCAATACACATTTATAAGATTATACAGTGTTGTCTTTTTGACATAGACCTGTCCCTTGTGGAAGAATAATATCACTAATTATCCTGAAATAAAGATGAATTGCCAGATTTCTGTAGGAACTCTGAAGAAAGAAGCAGCAGGCTGTGAGGGAAAAAATATATGTATTTAAATATCTTGTATTTTCAGAACCTATGTAGTAAGCAAATTTTTTTTTAATTGCATAGGTAGACTGTTTGTTGTCTTGTTTTTTTCCCTTGTTGGATCCAAGAGAGACATTTACATCAAGCAGTTATGTGAAATCAGTCAATGCACAACTGTGAAAACATTAAGGAAATTCGGAATTGGTATTTGTGCTTGAAGATTGATACAGTCTCTGTGGATACTGCCTTCATCTTCTGGGTTGGAGTTCCCTATGATTGTGACATGGGGTTTTGTTTAGATGGTTTTGTTGATTTTTGGTTTAGTTTTCAGTTAAACCCCAAAATATTCTTTTTTTACACCCTCTCCCCAAACATTATCATATAATATTCTGTGTGCAAAAGAATCTCGTGTTTAATCACTTCTGTTGCACAGCCTCTTAAGTGAAAAATTGCAGTCAGCCACCAAACTGGAAAGTAACATCTAAGCACTTTTCTAATGACAGATTTTACACCGCTGTGCTCTTACAGATGTCATTACAATTCCTAAATGTTTACAGTCCAAACAAATGAAATGGAGTCTAAACTGTAGAAACTACAGGCATGTTGCTATCAGTATGACGATTTTACTTGACTAATATTTGAATTTGATGCGGCGATTCTAAGATCAAATGGATACTCTAGTTCATGATTTTTGTCTGAGGTAACCCATCATAAGAACTATTAGTGTTATTTATGTTTGGATTAGGTGTGAATCAGTTCAGTTTTACTGTTATGAAGACAGGATGCCTGTGCATGTATGAGAGAGTGCCATAAACAACACAAACTCAGCAGTAGCATGGTATAGCATGTGTTTCTTTAGCAGTAGAATTTGAATTTGGGTTTCTTTGTGGTAGTACAAGCCTCATATTGAGGTGATAGCTATTAGATAGATAGATAGATATTTGATGTGAGGTAATATTAGCACCATTTAACTAGTTGGTCCCAGTTGTCAGAAGTTTGATAGTAGTGATTTTTCTTATTTATTTATTTTTTTAAATCCTGTAACAATCTTATTCTCTTCCCGCTTCCCATCCACCCCTTAGTGGAGCAAACTTTAGCACTCTGCTCATGAATCTTGGACCGGAAAACTGTGCCACTCTGTTACTCTTTGTATTACTAGAAGGCAAGATCCTCCTCCATTCTCTTAGACCAGCTGTGTTGACAGGAGTTGCTGAAGCTGTAGTAGCTGTAAGTACAAAACGTTCTGTACAGCAGTGAGAGAAATCAGTTCAAACTGCGCGGTTGTTACAAGGCATCTTTAAGTTAAAATGATTGATGCACTAAATAATTGTTTTTCCCATTTAGTTAAAGTATCCAGCATGTCTTATTATTAGAACTATTAGAATGATCAACATTTTTGCATAGATAACCAAAAGACATGCTGTGAATAAGTGATCAAACTTGAAGACTGTTTTCTGACAGTGTTACAAGGCTTTTAGCAATTTTGTTTCAACTTGCTGAATGTAACTTCTTGGTTTTTATTGTACAGTGTCTGTTGTCTTGTTTTAATGTGTTGATTTAATTTAATTTTTCCTTCAGATGATATTTCCATTTCAGTGGCAATGTCCATATATCCCTCTCTGTCCTTTGTCTCTGGCCACCGTACTCAGTGCACCTCTTCCATTTATTGTTGGAGTTGATTCACGATACTTTGATCTGTATGATCCACCGCAGGATATTGTGTGCATTGACTTAGACACAAACATGGTGTACATGTAAGTTCTATGGAGTTTTTACATTTATCTGTAGAAGGAGAGATTGCTGAAATGCTCAGGAGATAAACTATTAAACACTGTTTTATACAATATGGTTAATTTCTTAATGTCCTCTGTTCTTTTTGTCATTTCTAATGCTGCATAGCAAAATCAAAACTTCCTACTTCAAGGGTTGACATTTGGTGCTGCCTATAAAAAAGTGATGTAGATGTTGCTATAAATTTAATAACAATTGAATTTGGTTTGCCTGTGTTCAATGATTATTGGTATGAAGATGAGTGCTTTAGGAACCTTCATGACAGCTTTTGATTCTGTCTTGCACTGAGGGCACTATATGTTAGTGTTAATAAAGAAATTTTTCTCAAATTACAAGGGCTAAATTTTTGGTGAGATCAATCAAGCAAAATTTGGTGTCTTGACTACATTCCATCTAAAATATTTTCATTTAGTTTTTATATCTTTAATGTTTTTCTTAAATTGAAGGTGTTGCATGAACAGTTTCTTTGCACCTTCTTGAAGCAATGCTAATTCAGAGTAACTCTTCTGTTTCTCCGTAATTTATCTAAATGAAAATATCTAACTGAAAATTCAGTTGTTTCAGGTGTTTAGTAAATTTATGAATTACCTTTCCATTTTAAATAATTAGATAGATTAGATAGAAAGAGGCATTTAAGCTAGTTCAAGATGAGGGCAAACATCACTAAATAAACTGCACATCTTTTCTCTGTGAAAATATAGTTTTACTTCATCTTACGTCACTTTTTAACTCTTGACCTTTGTTTTTACTAGCTTGAGTTATAATTAGTCATTTGATCTATGGTCCAGTTGAATGCTTTCTTGATTTTCCTTGTATTAAAAGGATTCTTCCTTTACTGAAGCAAATGTTTTCTTTACTGAAATGCTTTGTTTTACTGGTAGCATCAAAGGAAATAGTAAACAATGGAGCAGATTTTGTTTAATTTTTTCTCTGCTTCCTCTAGGTCCCCATTAAAAACACTGCAAAAAGCATTTTCATCACTGTATATCAAAGTATTATGCCAGCAAAAGAATAATTATAATAGGTGTTGTAAAGAAGAATGTATTGAAGAAACTCAAGGAAGATAGCTTGTTTATATGAAGATAATTTGCAGTGAAAATACCTGAATGGTTTTGTTCATAAGTAGAATGGAAGTTGAAGACTGGGTTGCAGAAAAATAAAGGAGATAGAAACAGGGGATTTAGCAGGAAGATAAGGATGTCAAGATTCTGTTTGGATGGCTGCTAGAAAGACCAAGTACCAGCCTTATTGGATTGATTACTAAACTAAAAATCTACCAGTGGCTGACCTCTTAATGAGGCACTCAGCTGGAAAGATTTTTGTACCTTTTCTTTCATGTCTTATAAGTCTCTATTATTTCTCTTTCAATAGTTAGTTGATCTTTTTTGTTGCCCGTTTGGCATATATCTCATCTGTACCACTTATTTGACTTCCAGAGGAATTTGACTTCTGATAACATTTGACTTAGGTAAATGTGAGATGTTGGTACCTGCATTGTAAAACTTTTTTAACCTGGAAATAAGGATATTTTTCAAATCTCCATGATCCATGGAGAATTCTAAAATACTCATGCAGAATTCTAAAATACTACATTATTAGTGCATAAAGATTAATGTTCCATTTTATTTTATTCACATCTGTTTCTACCCCTCTTTATTTCTGTGGCAACTTCAGAAAACTGCATAATAGAAGAATAACATTTGAAAAATTCAATATTTTCTAGTACATCAGTCTGTCTAGTGTCTTTTTAGAAAGACACTAATTTGCTGCTGTCTTATAATGGAATGAAGCTTTATTTACTGCCAAAAAATACTGAAGGTCTTTTATTCATTCAGCATCTTCTTTAATGCCTTTTTTTGGATTTTTTAACTATCTCTGTGAAAGTAACATTGAAAGCTGGTTAAGAAAAGTAGCCTTTTTAGGGCAAAGATTGAGCGTTTGTTTGATTTTTTTATAGTAGGATTTTTTTCCTTGCGTTTTTGGAACAGTACCACTTACATTGTTTATAGGCATGCCATTATGGTGGGGAAAAGGGCAAAGGCATCCGTAAGCATGCTTTTTGTTTAACTCCTGAAACTTTGGCTTCTTTCCTAAGATAGTTCTGTGTCAATGCCAGTTGAGCAAATAGTAGTTGAACGAACATTTCCCTGATGCAAAGTGCGAAACAAGCAGTGACAGCATCAGCTCGGATACTAAGAACTGATTCGGTCTTGTGTCCACAAGGTTTGTTGTACTCCCTGTTATAGCAATTCTCCCCACTTTCTGCCTTCCAGAAAGAGGCGTAGGAGTTCTCAGGATTTATTCCCTACTTTCTCTCTGTTTACATCCAACTGCTTAAACAAGATCTGGCGTTGTACCCATTGTCCTTCTAACAAAGATGAGCATTCCTTTAGGCCAGTTTACCCCATTGCTTAATAAACCACATAATTTTCAAACTGCGAATGGAATTCCCAATCTTCCTAGTCCCTGCTAGCCTGTGATTGAAGCTGGAACTGAGTTGCCATAGACATGTTGCAGTGTACCATATGATCATAAAGCTACCAGACTGGTCTTCCAACATTTTGCAGTAACAAGTTCATGTTGTATTCCAAACTACCTTTATTTCTATCAGTAGCAGTATGACAGGTTTATGGTAGTATAGACTTGGCATAGTAATCACATACAGATTAGCGTGCTTAAATTATATTAGCAAGACCAATAAAAAATCTGAAAGAGAAATCAGCTAAGTGAAACTTAAGCTAAAAAGTCTAAATCAAATCTTAATGCAAATCCTCCTTACAGACTGGAGAAAACTCTACTCATAACTCAATTTATGCAGTTTTGTATCTGAGGAAATGAAATTCTGAATTATGTTACTCTGATTTTTTTATTTTTTGCAAATAGGGACAGTGTCAAGATTTCTTTTCAAAATAATTTCTTTTTTTCTTTAGTTACCACGTTCTGAAAATGAAGCGACTTAGGGCTATGGAAGCTATTGTTTTTCATATGGTCTGTATTTTACATACCCTTTTTTTCCTCCCTGTGTTTTAGATCAGATGATAAGAAGAACACCAACTGGAAGCAGTTTCCTAAGAAGCCATGTAAAAGCCTGCTTAGCACCTTAAAGAAACTGCACCCACAGCTGGCAGCAGGTGAAATATAGAAAATAAAATGGGAAGGGATAAGAACAGAAACTGCCTAAGGCAGGGAAAGTCAATATTCAAAGAAAACTACTAAATTTTCTGATCCATACCTACAAGTCTTAAATTATAATTTATATATAGATGTAAGGACTTCTTTCTATCATATGTAGTGTGAATTACTGAAATTTTTTTAGACTTATTTTCTTTGATGTGACTTCTTAAAATTGGAGCTTTTTTTAGCCTTTACTCATGATTAAATTTTGTTTAAACAAAGATTCAGCTAAAAACTGTTTGGATCTTCACATAAAACAATATTCACAGTTCTGATCAAAAATAATAGCGGAAACAGGGATATGAGTAAAATAATATTGAATGTCTCAGCTATTGTGCAGATACTGCTGAATGTCTCAGATTCTAATTTCTTTTCTACAACAATAATCTAATAGCTAAATTTTGACAAAGTATTCTGTCGAAAAGGAAGACTGACCATCTTCAGCCTAGTGACTTGGACAGGTAAGAGGAAAGTTGTAGCTGACCTAGCAGTTTTCAGGTATTGCTTCTTTCTGACTGTAGATAGGGTCTTTAAGGTAAGCTGGTTTAGAGTATGTTAGGTTGCATCATTTTGGAGAAGGAGACAATAATAGCCTTATAGCTATACAAGATACAAAAAATTTGTAAATTGTGGAAACAGAAACCTACATTAATTTAATCATGCCTCAATTTTGTATGATTTTTTTTTTTTCCCAGATAGCCTTTACTTCATCTATTAGAAAACCTCAACTTTTCTTTTGGTTTTATTAGCAGGGTATGTCATGCAATCTACCTAATACAGAATTGCTTCCTAGTTTTAACTTGAGCAGAACCAGTCATCTTTTTTAGATAGAAAGTTTTTCTGGTTTGGGAATATTATAATAGATATGTTATGATATTTATTTATATTTCTATAAATATATTACAATAATTTATTTTTTTGTTATAATAAAAAGCATGGAACTATAATTTTCAGTAGTACCTGCTACTGGGGTTTTTTTAAGAGTACAAGATTGAATGTCATCTACTTGTTCCTACCCTTTGGTGCACTAAACTGTTAGAATTTTGATTAGAAAAAATAGTTTCAGGCTCTTTCTTTCTAGATGTGCAGTCTTCAGAACAGGGAAAACATGGTCCTTCATATTTGTGTTGATACATTACTGAAAGACTACTGTCAATGAGATCCTCCTCATTTTATGTCCCAGAGGGCTAGATGAGTTGGACAAACACATAATCAACTCTTGTGGTAACTTGCTTTTTATATGGGCCAGATCAATTGAGAAATAATCACAGGATTTCAGTGTTTGTCATTTCTGAATATGGGCAAAAAAGAAAGATCTGTCTTCAGTGTCTTGCGAAAGTTACCTGCTAGAAGGCACTGAATTTTAATACAGGATTGTATGTGTTGCTCATTGCTAGTACACAGGAAAACTCAAGAAGGCTCTGCAGTGGAAATGACTCCTATAGAGGCAGATTTCTCCTGGCAGAAGAAGATGATAGAACTTGAAATGGAGATCCAGGAAGCTTTTCTCCGTTTCATGGCATCTATTTTAAAGGGTTACAGAACATTCCTCAAGCCAATCACGCAGGCGCCTTCAAAGAAAGCAACTGCTGCCGATTCCTTGTTTGATCATCAAGGTGAGGGTGAGGAAAACCAGCTGCTGATAGCAGTGGCACTGTTACAACCTCAGGGTTGAGGAGCTACTTAACTTTAAAAGGTCAAATTTCTCTTTGGTTGTACAATTCTTGGCAATATTTAAAATTGCAGTTGAATAATGTTAAACTATTCCAAGTTGATTAGAACATGAATTTATGCACATAGAACTACAATTTTTGCAGTAGCTCTGGTATTAGAAAAGCTGTGTTTCAGTAGCATGATGCACTCTCTGCATGGTGTATTTAGTAAGGGCAGCTCTTGGGAATGACAGAATATTTCTCAATTTGTGCAGAGCAAAAATGCCAGAAGCCCAGTACAAAGTAATGTTCTTGGTATAAATGGGAAGGTAATAGAGAACGGGGCAGAGATCAGAAAGGTAACAAAACAATAGTCAGCAAAGGTCATCTTGTTTTCCGCATCTTGTCACCTTAACTTTTCAGATCTGTTCATGAGTTGAATGCTAGATAAAATGTTACAGGTGTTTTCTTTGTATGTGATGGTGATGTTTTAGGGTTGGTTTTGGTGGTTTTTGTTTGGGTTTGTTGATTTTTTTTTTTTTTTAGCTTTTGTTTGGGGTTTTTTTTTATTGGAAGAGCGATTTGAGAAGAGATTTTTAGTCAAAGGTTTGGAAAGTCTTAAATATTTTCACGCCCATCACCTCTTAGGATAATATAATTTTTATTTTAGTATTGTTTTAACTGTTAAATATGTCTGCTTTTGTATGAGGTCATAATCTCCTTCTTGCACAAAATGTCAACTAACACAGTGAGCAGACTACATGGGGGTGATTGCTTACCAAGTATTGTTAAATGTGGTGAAAAATAATTAAAAAAAAAAGAGCTGTCATTTTAGTCTTCTGAATGCAAGTTAGAGATTAGTAGTTGTTTTATTGATAAAGCGAATACTGTATGTATTAGCACTTTAAATATTTTTTGTTGACACTTTATATGTTAATTTGTTATGGAACTCATAACTGGTATTTAGTTTTGTGTTCCTTTTTGTAACCAGGATTTTTAAAAAGCAGAGACCGTGCCTATACAAAGTTCTACACACATCTCACCAAAACACAGATATTCAGCCGCTTTATTGAAGAGTGCAGTTTTGTGAGTGACAAGGATACTGGCTTGGCATTTTTTGATGACTGCATAGAAAAGGTGAAAAACATGTAGCAATACTATTAATTATATGTTTCAGTTCATTTTGTGTTATTGTCTTGGTTTTTAGTTGAAAAGATAGCTACCCTCTCCTGCAAGTGCTTTGAGGGATTGGAATTCTTGGTGATTATTGCCACGTCATTTTCTTCTTTCATCTTCTTCAATGGTCATCATTTTCTGTGCTGATGCAGGAAACTTTCATTGAAGCCCTGTAGGATGTCAAGCTATAAGATAATGTGGAAGTACCAGTAGCTGAAACTTTAGCACAATGCCATCTGTGCCTTCCCTTTAATCACCCTCCCTCTAGTGTGGAATTATCTACCAGTGGTCATCTGCATTGTTGTTCTTTTTCACACGATTTAAACTTAAAACACAAAAACATGCCTAGTGCTCCACTTGTGGTCAAAACTGATTTCTGTAGACAAGGTCCCCTTTTGTTGCCTGTATTTTGTACCAGAAAGATTGCTGTCACCCATTCTTGTTTTTTGAAACAAAGTCTCTTCAGCATGATTCTGGTCCAGATGGGTTATTGAGTTTATACCTTCATCTGCAAAATGCCAGGTTCACAAAAAAAAATAATTAGGAGCTAGATAATTATATGTATTTTTTTAAGGTGTATATGTATGATTCTTTCTGGATAGAACCTTCATTTTCATACCAAGTTCTTATAAGTCTTTGAGTCAATATTGATTCTGAGCAAATTAACACTCATAAACAGCCCATAAAATAAGTGTTTAAAAGTTTCTTTGCCTTTATTTTTCTTTCTGCTGAGTATGGAGTATGCATCTAGAGTATACATCTAGAGTATACCTTGTTTAATATTGTTAATAATTTGATATTATTGCAGGTTGTTAATGTGTTGCATATTTAAATTGTCATATTGAAAATACCTGCAAAGCAGCAGTTTCTTTCAATTAAACTCAATGAAAGCACTTTCCTTTGATAGATTTAGGATTTTGTATTTAGTAAATAATGTCAACAGATTGAAAGCATGCTGATTACTGCATTTTCTTACTTTCAGCAAAGGAAGTATTTGAAAAAGAGATTAATTGCTCCTACAGTAATATGAAAATTTAGTGTTATTTAATATTTAAGTAAATGACAGAGATTTAATAGAATTATTTAGGATTTTTTTTACTTGAGAAGAAAGTCTAATCTTTTTTTTTTTCCTCTTTTCCCAGCTCTTTCCAGATAAAGGAACAGAAAAAGGGGACAAGGTACTTTGTCCTTCAAAATGTTTAGAGATATGTGATTGTGAAACAAAAATGGAAAGACAAGGCTATGGACTTGATATTTGAGTAATTAGAACAAATATAAT